CTTGAAACTCCTGGATTTCCTGAATCTTCCTTCCTGAGCAAAGTAGGTCTTGTTTTCCAGACCCATGTCCTTATTGCCTTGTTTTCCAAAGGGAAATTCTTTGTGAGTGTGCAGGAGCGGATTAAGTAACCATGTATTGTTTTTGTATTTTCTCTCATGTGCTCCTGGAAAGCACATAAAATCTCCAGCCAAATTCCATGAACGTTACTCACGGCTTGGCCAGCTGAGGTGTGTCTGAACAAATGCTTTCACCATGGAGACTGGAGGACGATGTTCTTCCAGTCTTTCTTACACATGTGCGTTTGTTTCAGCTAGTCTGGAAACTTGGACAGGTTTTGTTATTTCTTTTTTTTTTTACCATCTCAGTGTGCAAAAGCGTTCCAGGAAACAGCTGAGGCTAAGGACAAATGAATATTTACTGTGGTGGAGTTTGGTTACCGTGTGTCTGTATGGGTTGCCATCATCAATGCCTGCTCCTATCCCCTAAAGAATGACCGCAGGGCACTGTTTGGACTTTAGATGGAGTGAATAGAGCACGACACATGTCAAGTATACAGTGACACGTGTCGTGTTGGCAGTGTTATGTAATGTTAAATCTAGGGCTGAACGATTTGAGGAGAAAATCTCATTGCGATTTCTCTGCCAGATATTGGATTGCGATTCGATTTGCGATGTAATTTTATTTTTTAAAGTTCAATATTCACTGCCAGTCTATTTGACGGAAGCAGCGTCAAGCAGCACAGAGCACAGAGTTTCGTTCGTAAAATGTACACGCTCTGATTGGTGAGTAGGACCATAACAGGAGACGCGTGACGTGACGCTTGTGATTGGCGAGCAGATCTGTCACACAAGGATGACAACGGAATGAATTTGGAACTTAATGAGTGTTTAAAACGAGACAGATATATAATTAAGCTACATTTTAATCGCTGTCGTCATGATTTGCTAATCGCGTTGTTTCAAATTGCAATTTCGATTTGAAAACGATTAATTGTTCAGCCCTAGTTAAATCCATCTCTTGTTGAATGCAATAGATTAATCAGCAGGTTCTAATGTTGCTACCTAAGTAAAAAGCAGCGTTTCTCTTTTTGATAGTGGGGAAGATGAGACGATAATGAAAAGATTTCTTAATGGAACACTTCCACACTGTTTGCCAACATTAAATTGTAGGTCAATATAGACTTAAGTAATCACCTGGATAAATGCCAGTGAGCTGAATATTGACTGTGTTATGTTAATTTACTTGCTTTCAGCTGTGTGCTGTATACAGTCTGTGGTTGTGATTCATGTCTTCAGAACGGAACGTGACGTGCGACTGAAGGAGTCATCAGTTCAGATGAATGAACTAGATCCTGTTAGAGGTCAGTTGATACATCCTGGGTGAAGTGCTGCATCAGTGTTTTGTTAACTAAAACAAGTTCTTATGTAAACTGCAAGTGCTTTCAAAAGTCTGTATTTGCCAAGGGCCAAGGATCGAATTTGAGACACTAACTGGAATTCACCACTTCATCAACAAGTTGCACAATGTAGTTATTTGTCTGATTGAGAGATTGATGCAAAATTAATATGACAGAGTAGTGTAAGTTTGTTATATTTTTTTAATTATAGCAGGTCACTGTCATCATTAGTATCATATTTTGTTCAAAAGTCAGTCAGACGATCAGATGTGACCAGACTGGGTCGAACAGTAGAAGAGCCCAGCAGCATGCCATTATGTTCCCTTTGTGAGGAATAACCTGATATCATGACCTTCCCGTTTCCTGTTTTTAACACTAAAAGTCGGTCTGTTTTCAGTCCAAAAGGGGCAGCTCAAGTTGTGCTGTTTGTTTAAGTTTGTCAGGTTCTTCCGGACTGAGTATTTTTGGTCATCTCAGTGGTTTACTTCCTGTAAGTGAACCCTGTGTTTTTTGTACAGTATGTAAGTCAATTGTGAGTGAAAAGTAGTGTTTTTTTTGTTTTTAACAGTACATGGCTGGTTTGTGGTTGAGTTTGTTGTTGACATGTGGTTGTTTTTAATGGGTGAAACTGATGTTTACGGTCGGTGCTGTTGTGCTGATGGCGGGACAAAGCCCAGTGTTCCAGAGCATCAGGGCAGAAAAACAGAGCTCAGCATTCACTCTGTCCGTGGACAGTGGGCAGCTGAGTGGGTCAGTGGCCCTGGCAGCAGGATGCCAGGAGCTGCTGAACCCCACTGACTGCCTACTTAGACAGAACAACAGCTGCTGGTGCTGATGAACATACAGATAGGGCTGGGCGATATGGCCAAAAATGTTATCCCGATAAAAACATTTCACACCATTTGATATCAATAACTATGAAGATATATGTCAAATCATTATTTCTTTCAAGTTTAAAGGTGGATTTTTTGCACCTGAGTGAAAATTCAAGAAACCAGATGGTTAATTATGGTCAGAATGTGACAAACACTTGATGCCAAACAGTGGATCACTTCACAAGTATGAGGTAGAACATATTTCAACAAATATGATTAGTTAATCTTTTTTCAGGCCTCTTTTTTCAACAAAATAAATATTTTTAATAGAAAAATTAAGTGCTAATTTGGTCGTGATTCAAATGAATTAAAGCAAATATTTATTGATGATATATTGAACCTTGAACCCATCATATTATTGAGAAAAATTATATTGCGATAATTATCATTATTGTTTTATTGCCCAGCCCTACATACCTACGTACATAACCTACTCATGTGTTTGCATCTTTATGTGGAAATGCAGGTTGTTGTTTTTTTTGATGATGATGTATATTGATCGTGATATGCAAGTAGACCAGGCGTTACAAGTGGCTCTGGTTCAAATATCTAACTTTAGCTTACTGTTGACCTTTGCTGACTTTTAAGCTCCATCGTACGTCACAGTGATTTCTGTTCTCATGGTATTCACAGGAGACATATTTGTCCTATGTAGGGCTGCAGCTAACAATGATTTTAGTACTCAAAGCTTCTACAGATTATTTCATCAATGTATTATTTAGGAAGTACTTCTGCCTTAATCAAATCAATTTAATCAATGAATCGTTTCAGCCCTAGTCTTGTGCTCCATAGAACACAGCTCCTTTATCAGCGAGACTCAGCTGACACTTTCTCAGCCGACCACAAACGTCTTGTGAGCAGCACTTGCTCTTTCAGTTTCTGTCCCTGTCTTTATGGCACTGTTACTTTCAGACTAACTGTATGTTTCCAGTCTACATCCTTGAAGTGGTAGATTTACAACTGATAGGACTGCACAGCCACATTCCCCACACATTAGAGCCCTTACTCATCATTTGCTTCTTGTATGAGCGGGTTGGTTGGTCTGGTCTATTCTTGGTCTGCTTCCCCCACACCTACAAACCTACATCAAAAAGAAAGGCACAGGAAAATAGTGTCCGCGTTCTGAGGACTTATTACTACTATTTGTCCCTCAAGTCCAGACTGAATTGGGAAAAGGGGCGTTTAAGTATGCGGCTCCCTGCGCTTGGAATCACCTGCAAAATGTCCTGAATCTTCAGGAGCTGGTTTCACTGGTTGCTTTTAAATTACTTTTAAATGACATGGAGGCTGTACACACTGGCTGTAGATGTTACGATTGATTACTCGGACGATCCTTGTTGTTTATCACTTGTGGTAAATATATATGAAATATTGATATTTTATGACTTTGTAACTCACTAGTTATTCCCATCATAAATTGTTATATGTTTTACGTTTATGTTATATGTTGTGTTTTAATGTCTACAGTTTTTCTTTCTGGTTAAATAAAGATAAATAATATCGGTCGTTTCCCATATCTTTCTTAATGTCTGTCTTTGCTTCCCTGATCCTTTTTTACCTCCACCATTCACCCATTTACTCATTCACGCATAGATAAATGCACTCATTCATATCCTGGAGACTTAAATTGCAGGATGGAATTTCACAAGCTATTAGTAATTAGGAAATATCCTGTAGGTTTATGCAGCAAGGATACATGACGTAAGAGTCTCAGACAAGCTCAGCCTTATGACTAACTTTGGTAATCTCCAGCACACGTTATCATGAACATCACTCAGTTTACTGTTGTCTTACCAGTCTAGTTGGGTCTTTAGACATGCCGGTTTTGCAACCACTTATGACTAACTTTGGTAATCTCCAGCACACTTTATCATGAATATCACTCAGTTTACTGTTGTCTTACCAATCTAGTCGGGTCTTTAGACATGACAGTTTTGCAACCACGCCTGTCAGACCCAAGTTGGGATAATGGTGGCGATAAAGAGGAAGATAGGGGTGCTGCTGCTGCACATTGTGCCAGCCAAAGCCTAGTTGCATAACAGCTGGCTGGCCTCTGCAGAAGAGCTGAGTTTGCTAGTGTTTTACATTTATAAGAACACATAATTTGGAGACTTGGTGTTGCCCTTGGGCACGGCGGCTCCTGTTTTGTATTGAGCCCTTTTTTTGTAAAGCAATTAAAAGTGCTTTAGTTGAGTCTGTTCCATTCTTTGCTGTGGCTTAGCTGGAGGGAGAAGTTTGGAACGGTACAAAGTTGAAGGAGCTTTTGTTTGGCCTCTCACTTGTTTGCTGCATACAGCTATTCTTCTCCCACCTATTCAGATTCTTCAGTCCCTCTTAGCACAATACTTGCATTCTTAAAGAATACGTGAACTTGTTTCTAATGAATTTTATATAAGCTGGCATTACATGAGCTTATTGTAGCTGTGTGGTATTCTTTAAGCTGAATCAATCCTGAGCCTTCCAGTCGTATTTCTTAAAGTAAACCTCAGCATTTCTAAAAACAATATTTTCCAAGTCCTGAAAATGTGGGGGGAATGCAAAAAATATATTAAATTGTCTGCCCCCTGCATGCACGGCATGTAGAAAGACGATACAGGACTTAATGAAACCTTTATTCTTTTCCTCCTATGTCATTTGCTAGAATGAAACTTTAAACCTAAAATATATCTTCCAAGATCGAAAGCCAATATGTGTTAGCTGACAATTCTGCTCTTCCTTCCTCTTTCAGGCCTATGAGCGCCGGTTCCCAACCTGTCACCTTATCCCTATGTTTGTGGCAAGTGATGTGGTGGAAGAGGAGACCAGCGAGGACGGTTCCACCCACAGGGTTGAGCGCCGCTGTGCCCTGGATGTTGACGCCCCACGCCTGCTCAAAAGGGTATGTTGCACATAAGGTCGTTAGTACAATGTACAATGAAATGGGGTGATTGTCATTTCATACCACTGCTTAAGAGTATTAAATATTTAGTTTATTGTTGAGATAGTTATATAAATGATTATAATGAGTATCTTAATTTTTGGCTATATGTACAGTAGTTTGATTTTGCTGTCTCATGTCAGTGTAAAGTCTTGTAACATGAGGTGGTGTGTGTGTGGTTTGCAGATTGCAGGTGTAGATTATGTCTACTTCATCCAGAAAAACACGCTGAACCGCAAAGAAAGGACACTTCACATCGAATCCCATAATGAGACCTTCTCCAACAGGGTCATCATCCATGAGACCTGCTGCTATTCGGTCAGTAGAACACACACCACTGCGCCGTATAGTGCAGGCTGTTGTCCAAAAGCAGCTTATAATACACACTTGTGTATATTTGTAGTACAGGTGGCCCCAGAGGGAGACCCCTGGGAGTTTTTTTGACATGCTCAACCCGTTGGGTTACACAGAACCACACATCTGTATTCTCACAGAGAAATGAGAACCCACATTCTCTCTGTTGAGCAGCTGCAGAATGGCAACCTGCCACCAGCACACCCATGTTAATGTTTGTGCCTCTTCTAATCTCCTCCCTGCTTCCCTGCAGAGAAAGCCTTGTTTAGACTTGCACTAAGCATGTTGCTAGCTATTTCAACCCACCTCTGTGTGTGAATTATTCAGACCTCACACGTTCGAGATGAATGCTCTCAAGTACTGATCTGAAACCAGCGTGTCTTCCTCTGTGTGCTGCATCCATAACTCTAACTTCAGATCTGCCTATTCATGACTGGGTGTGCTCTGAGTTAATGAGGTCAAGCACATCGTATTAACCTCCAACCGACTAGAGTGCTAATTTTAGGTCCAAGGCCACACAGATGTTTTAGTGTGCTTTAGCCCACTGTGCTAACAGTAACTGGGATGGACAGCTCAATTAGACAGAGCTTATGGACCAAGCTAAAGCTGAAGTATTTTGGTAGCCAAGGGTAATGAAGCTACCAGTACAGGGCCTTCAGAAATAGTTCAGTTCTCAACTTCTTTCCAAATGAAATGATGATGGAGCCTGAATCAAAATGGATATAGATAATTTGTTTTTGGCCCTGATGCCGAGCCCTTTAATGTTGAAAATATGCAGGTCCACGTTGATAAAATATCTGACATACTGCAACAAGGCACTCCTTATTTTTCACTATCTTCTTACTGAAGGTATGCGTGCACTGACACTGAAACTACCTGACATCTTACGTTACTGGACTAGTGAAAAACCATCCTCTGCCCCTGTTTAGGAGTATTTTGGGTTTAGTCCTAATCATAAAGGTGAGTCAGCCAAGAAGGACAAAGCTGTGGGTACATCATCTCCGTTCAACCCACTGATGTGTTGGTATCTGCTGGCAACAAGTGTCATTAGATCCTCCAGCAAGAACCTATGGAAGAATTTTTTTAAATTTATTTTACCTTTATTTTAGCAGGAAAGAAATCCATTGAGATTTTTAATCTCTTTTACAAGGATGTCCTGGAAGAAGGGCTGTTCATCATTCTATGGGCCCTATATACATAGAATATACCAAAAAGAAATAGTTTTATCTCAAGCACCACCCCCATACAGCTGCCAAACCAGTGGTGGAATCAGATGAAAGATGGATGGAAAATAATTGTGCTTGGTATTACTTTAAATGAGTGATAATGACCAGCTAATCCTGATGATTTTCTTCAGTTCTGTCTAAATGAGGCTCTTATAATCTTTACACACACAGACACACACACAGACACACACACACCAGAAACATGCGTGTTCTTGTGTGTTTGCTTGTTGTCCTTTTTTAGCTCTGAGCTGTTCATGTGTAAATGGACTGTGGGCTGGTTAATTTTATATGGACAGACTGACACTCCCACTCGCAGTGCACAGTGTGAAAATCATCCAGTGAAGCTGGGTGTGTGGGTACCATAGTAACCTGGTTATCTTGTTTCTGCATGTGTATACGTTAATATTATACAGTACATGTTTGTGTGTGTCTTGGTACAGGTTCACCCGGAAAATGAGGACTGGACATGTTTTGAGCAGACCGCCAGCTTGGACATCAAGTCCTTCTTTGGCTTTGAGAGCACTGTGGAAAAGATTGCCATGAAGCAGTATGCCAGCAGTATCAAAAAGGTGTGTGTGTGTTGTTAAAACTGATCATTACATATACGTATATATGTTAACTTTGTAGTTTCTGTGTATGGATAGTTGCAGAATACTGCATAATGGGTGTTGAATGGATTATGCAGAACTGACATCAATCTATTCTATGAAACTTGACTAAAGCATGAGTCAGTTGGTCCGTCTCATGCTGTAAATTCCGAAATAAGCTTGTATCACTTTGAGTGGACAGGGGTCTTCTATGATGGACTATGTGAGTCATCTGCCTTGGATGGATGTGGGCAATGTTGAATGCATTCCTTTTTATTTTCTCCATCTGTTCCAATTACCCAACACTTCAGTTGGAAATACTAAATGAATATGCAGTCTTTCTTGGTTTGAATAAAGTACATATATGTATTTGTCTGGCAGTTGAGTTCAAATATCAACACTCATTCTGCAGACTCACTTACTCTCCCTTTAAATATCATGTCGCTCCTGCTATTTTTCCATACACATTTTCTTCACTTTTATTTTTCAGGGAAAAGAAATCATAGAGTACTACCTGAAGGAGCTAGAAGATGAAGGGATCACCCATGTGCCGCGCTGGACTCCCTCCTCTGTCCCCCTGTCTCTCCCCAGGCCAACTAGCCTCTCCACCAGCCCACTTGTTCTCCCAGAACTCTCAGTCACGCCCGCCGCTTGTGTCCCGCTGCCCACCGACACCAAGGACAGCACCTCCCAGGACACCAAGCAGGACAGCAGCGCCCTTCAGGCAGACAGCCTAACAGAGATCCTGGCTGGTACACCTGAAGGTCAGTTCCTACAGATTATTAAAAAATGAGAGCTCACTCTCTTGTAGCATGTTTAATTTATAATAGTGAACATCTTTTTTTGCACTGTAAGAATTACAGCAGAATACAAAGTAGAAAAAGGATCCGTTTTACAGCAAAAGCAATGAAAGCAAGACCCCATTATTTATGGAGGGCATGCACACTTGAAAACTTGTTTTGGGGTTTTGGTTTCATTAAAGGTCTATGAAAAATTAATCACCTTGTGTTTGACTGAGTTATGTTAATTGGAGGTGTTATGTTTTTGATTGCAGATAAGTTGGATGCAGACTATATCAAACGTTACCTAGGCGACCTGACCCCCCTGCAGGAGAGCTGTCTGATCAGACTTCGCAAATGGCTGCAGGAGACTCACAAGGGAAAGGTAGTGTTTCGAGTGTTTGGTTTTGCACTTTTTATAATAATGGTGTTGAACAGAATAGAAACTTTTAGGTACACTGAAGACTTACTCTCCAACTCTTATGTTCAACATTGTCAGGGACATCTGCAGAGGTGAAGTTGTAGTAGATTTTGAATCATATTTTAGTCTGACAGCTATCAGCTACTTTTTCCATGCTAATGTGGCTAACTGACCTGCTGTTTGCTGAAATACCAATGGTCTATTCAGGGACACAGTAGGGCAAGGAATCAAATGCAGAACTGGTGTATTTTCCACAAAGCTGGTGATGTAGTTGAACATAGTAACAACACAGCAAGGTCCCCTACCAAATATCATTAGTAATACACCGAGGGCCTCATTAATGAGCCTTTGGTAACAACAAGTTACCGTCTGTCCGCAGGGTTTTTCCTGGCTCTAAATGAGGCGGAGGTGGTACCGTCCTGATTACGAGGAGTTCTAATAATTTAATAAAATAAGAAACTTAAAATCGTCATGTTGATGCATCCTTTAAAAAATAAAGCTGTCCTAGTTTTAATTTTCATTCATATTTCATGTCAAATACAAAATAAAAGCTAATGTGTTCATTTACACAGTTAACAAACAGCAAGATAAATCAAATATAACATCACAGCGGAGCTTTTGCGTTGTAGCTGATTGAAATCCTGGATATTAAATGTATCTCTGCAACGTTCTGTAGTAGTCCCAGTAATATTTGTTCTTACTGAGGCAAGTTATGTGACGGGGTTAAACTCTGAAACTGACAACACCAAAATACTGATAAACTGAATTTCTCTGGCAAAATAGTATTTACACATGTATATCTTTTTTTTTTGAAGCATTTAAAATTTTAAAGTAATACCCTCTCATACTTAAACAAGAAAATATTTATTTATTTTTTGTTTATTTTACTTTCTAATTGAAATTATTTGTTTTTATCACTGTATGTGGCAGTCATGTTCTCAGATATAGGTATTGCAATGAACTAATGTTCTGCAGATGTGTGTTTGAATTTGTATTCGATAAAGTGGGAAAAAAATGTCACACTTGTTGAGGTGTTCACAAACACTATTTTTAAAGCCTGTTGGTGATATAAAACTATATTAAAACATGGAACGGCAGGAAAAGCGGTTTTGTTTTCTTTTAATAATTACTTTTGCTGTGTGGTAAATGCGTTAACAGCGGGAACACTGTCGCGCCCCCAGCTCTGCGGTTCAGCCAATCAGACTTCTCTTTCCTTTCTCTCTGGATGTTTTTACTGTTTTTGATACAGCGCCACCACATCAGCCGAATGCCACATTTACAAATGACCGATATCCACAAAGTGCAACGGTTGCTAGAAAATAGTGTTTAGAGTTTTGTCTTGAGCTGGAGACGGGACAAATTTGACGTAATTCTCTGTCCAGGAAAACCGCTGCTATTTATAATAACCAGTTGACTGACATTGGTAGTGTTAAAGTTTTTTAAAAATATACAGATTTTCATGAATTTGTTCACGAATCAAGTAAAGCTAAATGCTCTCCCCTTACTATTCAGATCCCTAAGGACGAGCACATACTGCGTTTCCTGCGTGCCAGGGACTTCAACATGGACAAGGCAAGGGAGATCCTTTGCCAGTCGCTGACTTGGAGGAAGCAGCACCAGGTGGACTACCTTCTGGAGACCTGGAGCTCACCCCAGGTCCTCCAGGACTTCTACACCGGGGGATGGCACCACCATGACCGAGGTATGCTTTTTTTCTTTCTCCTTTCGTAGGATTAAATAAATGCTGTAATGTCATAAATAAGTTTGTCTGTGTGACTTTACAATTTCCTCTGTCTGGTGTGACTCTGATGTTATACAGCAGTACAGGTAACGTTACTGTTTTACGTCAGTGTTCAGCTACGCTCTGGACTGTGGAGTGTTCGCGGTGCACGAGCTCTGGCATCCAATCTCTGGCGCAAATCAGTCAGGAAAGAAAACAAAACGTGCTACTAACAAGCTAACGTTAGGTGGTCGCCTCAGAATGGGTAAGTGTCTGAAATTCAGAAAACCAGAGACACGGACAAGTTGGTGGACGAGGCAGAGAGGAGTGGCGCTGAGGTTAGCACAAAAAACGGATCGGCGTGCAAGTCAGTCACACTACGGCAAGTGCTAATGAAACAGCAGAGCTGGAAGACCCGCCTGCTGGTTACTGTTCAGTGAACGTTACAACAGCAACGGAGAGATAGTTGTGTATGAGACGAGGACGATGTCTGTGTGTCGGCGTTGCGCCGCTGTTGTAGGCTAACGTTATGTGAATAGAAACATAAAACATGCTGATTGATGCACATTAAACTACATCACCCAGATGCGGCGATAACCGGAACGAGTAAAAAAACGAACCGGAGCAACTCCTTATCCCCGCTGCTTTCAAGCCAATACAGAATAGAATGAATAATCACTTAAGCAATTAACATATTAGATTACATTACATTACCTTATCTAGCCAAGGTGCAATTGCAACAACTCATACTGCACAATTTTTTTGTATTTTTGATTTCACCCCTTAAGAGATCTAGTTAGTGCACAAATATTGTATTCATTTCATAGGTGTCATTTACACTGGGGATACTGGGGACATGTCTCCATTACTTTTTTTTAAAGCATTTGTTAAATATGTTCTTAAAATGGCTTACAGAAGAAATGTTTAAAAAAAAATAAAACATTTTTAATGCTTTGAGAAAGGTTTATTTGCACAATAAGAAAACATGCAAGGCAGTTTGAAGATGGAAGAAACAAATACAAACAAAAACAAAAAAGGTTTCTTAAGCTAAAACAACAAGCTGCTGAGTGCTGAATTATATTCTGTTTGAGTTGTCACCCCAATCACTTGATATGAATAAAGACAGTTCTACCATAAATTGGTGCAGAAAATGTCTCCAGAATGCAGAAAATGATGTGTTTTAGTGCTCAGATTTTCTAGGGGAGGACTTTAATATTTCATCAAAATTGTGTTAAAATATCATCTTGTCTTGTTCTCATGAACCCAATATTGTGAATGGTGCATGTGAGCTAAGAGTATCGTCACACCCCTAATCTGAACCCTTATGTCCCCACCACTTTTCAACACAAAGTGACGTCCTTGATTCATTTTATCTTATCAAAGTGCAGTGAGTATGAATGTATTACAATAAAATGTTTTATTAAATTTATGTAACTTTGTAAATAATTTTCTTAAAATTTGACCTCCTTTAAAATTAGAATTCATACAGATTTTACATTATACGGCAGTGAAGTTGATATTAAATTTCATCCTAGGTGGTATTAAAAAGGTCTTAAAAAAAAAAGATCTTGTTGAAATTTAACTTTGAGAATCCTGGGGGTACACTGATTAACAGGAAAAAAAAAAAAAAAAAAAAAATGCTCACACCCTACAGCCATACACAACAAGACAGTTAAATGTGCTTCAGTCTCACATGTGCGTGCATTCATCAACACATGTTCCACTTATAATTCATGTAGGCTGTGTCAGAGCTGGCTATACTTACACTGTTAACTAGAGGAAGATCTCAGTTCTCCAGTTTCTTGGAGACTCAAGTTACACACGCCACATGAACTGAAGTCATTCATAGCTTCACAATATAAATCAAATTTAAATGGCTTTTATGTTTCCACTAATGTGGGTACATAAAAGCCATTTAGATTTCAATATTTCCACAAGCATTTGTATGGGATCAACAGGGACAAAAGATGAAAGCATTTCTCATTGTACACGGCCATTTATTGTCTTACAGAACAGAAGAACAGACAGGCAAGCTATACACACCTCTCCATGTAACATAAAGCCTTGGAAAATGTAAATACTATGATAGATCATGTAAATATTTGTTTTATTACTTTAGATCTATTGTACATACTGAGCATTTCTCAGTGTACACAGCTTCTTATTGTCTTACAGAACAGACAGGCAAACTACATAGACCTTGCCATGTAACAGGAAACCTTGGAGAATGTAAATAGTGTGATAGATCATGTATTATTTGTGTTTTTATCCTCTAGATGGGCGTCCTTTGTACATCCTGAGGTTGGGCCAGATGGACACCAAAGGGCTGGTCCGTGCTCTCGGAGAGGAGTCTCTACTCAGACATGTATGTAACACAAGTCGCAACAAACTTGAAGCTCGCGTGTATCTGTGTAGGTCGATACGTTTCTAGGGTCAGGCAGTTGGTGGTTGGTATTTAGGTTATAGGATGAATGGAAACTGGCATGTCCTGACAAGTGTATTAATATCAGGCAGTATACAGTACATATAATACATATAAATAGTCTGCTTATTTCTAATGTTGCACTCACTGTAAGTCACTCAGGTTACGAGTGCCAAATGCTTGAAATGTAAGATTGCAATAGACCACTGAGTTCATGTTGTGTTATTATAGGTGCTGTCTATTAATGAGGAGGGTCTGAGACGCTGTGAGGAGAACACCAAGGTGTTTGGTCGACCCATCAGGTAAACCGCCAGTGTGGAACAAAGTAGAGCTGGGAAAAAAATTTCAATTTAGTGGATCAAGGGAAATGTTGATAATCGGTTAAGTAATTTATCACGCAAAAAATTTGGACTGTGGGTTGAACAAAGCAAGCAATTTGAAGTCAGCTTGGTCCCTAGAAAGTAGTGATTTGATGGGCATCTGTTGCTATTTTTTGATATTTATGTATGTGCTGTGAAATGTAGGGTGGTGTACATGGTTGATGTATTTGTCACAATACAACAAGTTGTAGACCTGTAGAGTTCCCCTCTGCTACAGAGCAAGCAATATACAAATTAAAGCAATTGTAAAAATGGTAAACAGAAATAAACTATATTCCATGGAGCAGTTTTGCATCTGTGCTAAAGAGGCTAGAACGCAATAAAAAAATACTAATTAGAATAAGAGTAATAGTAAGCAAGAACCCAAGAATAGAGGTCAGAGTTCACCATACCATTGCCTTGACAATTAATCCATTAACATAAACGATATATAATGATTAATAATCTTCAGTTGCATCCCTACATCAGTGCTAATTTCTCAATACGAGCTTAAATGTGGATGTAGATCAATAGAATCAGGATTAAGTGGAAAAGATGTCACTCCTTTTTTTTTTGACCACCAAGCTGCACACAAGCTAGTTGCTTTTGTTCAGCAGTGGAGGCAACAGAGCTGCTATCTGTCAGCCCTCTCAAACAGGAGGAGGTGGCAGGGATAAGAGCCATGCAGGAAGGAATGTGAACTATGAATGACTTCCCGAATTAGCAGGCGTTGTCTTCACCACTTAAGCTTCACTTCAGGGTGACAGGTGCCAGAAGGAGACCGTAGCCCAGTTGTGTATGAGTGTGTGTCTGTGGCGTGCGATTATCCACACTCCAATCCCCTCTCTCTTCTGTAGCTGTTGGACGTGTCTGGTTGATCTGGAGGGGCTTAACATGCGTCACCTGTGGCGACCGGGAGTCAAGGCGCTGCTGAGGATCATTGAGGTCGTGGAGGCCAACTACCCAGAGACTCTGGGACGGCTGCTTATCTTAAGAGCTCCCAGAGTTTTCCCTGTCCTCTGGACACTGGTGAGATCCAGGAGATACAGGCTCAAACAATCTGGCAAAGCCTTCTCACAGTACCAGTTTATATAGATTTGAATCCTAGTGTGTAGGTCAACTTCACTGTCCTACATCAGGGCTCAACAGTAATGATAAAAATTGACAAGTGGATTTCTGACCACCGTGCAAGTGAAAAAAACATTATGTTGAACCCCCATTTTTGCAATGCAATAACTAGGATGCAACCAGTTAAGTGTGTCCCTAACCACCATCCATCTGCCTTAGGTGAGTCCGTTCATTGATGAAAACACCCGCAAGAAGTTCCTTATCTACGCAGGCAATGACTACCAGGGTCCTGGAGGGCTGGTGGACTACATAGACAAGGAGATCATCCCTGACTTCCTGGGAGGAGAGTGTATGGTCAGTGTCTGATAAACATTTAAGCTCTCAGATTATCATTCGAGTCCATTCTGAATATGAACTTTCTGGGACATGAGGCTCCCCTCATTGAGACCTCCTTTGCTGACCCAGTTGTATGCGTGTACATGCATGCCTTTTCTCTACAGTGTGAGGTACCAGAAGGCGGTCTCGTTCCCAAGTCGATGTACCGCACAGCCGAGGAGCTTGAGAATGAAGACGTTCGCCTGTGGACTGAGACGATCTACCAAAGCGCCAGTGTGTTCAAGGGAGCTCCACACGAGGTGAGGCCTAACAGAGCACCAACGTGCGAAGAAACGATGGAAAGCTTTTGGGTTTGTTTTAAATGAATATGTAGGGCAGGACAACAGAGAGCTGCATAATGCCTGTGATGGAGGTTTTGTTGAAAGTGGTGCCATCTGGTGGTTGGATGTGGTGGATGAATTTAGATGTGGAATAAATGTGGCTTTGAAATGTAATCTGTCTGCAGTGACATACAGTTAATCACGTTACATCATTAATACCAGAGGGAGAGATGCATCGCCACACAATGGAAATGTTTATTTCGTGTTAAATGGTTCATAACCTCACAAACAGATGTGTACTCATTTCTCTCATTGCTCTTGTCACTGATGGGGTCTTTATTTTGCCACATCTGGCTGCTGCTTAAAACATGAGTATGCGTTTCAGTTCCTTAAGTACACCGCTGTTACGAATGACGGTAATAAACAGTGCAAGGTTTACAGCTATAGTGCCCTGGCATTATTCCTGTAACCAAGAAAGGATATGTGTGAAGGAAAAAAAGAGCTAAAGAGAGAGAGAGAAATGTTTCTCTCCTGAAACATCTCTTCTTATTTCATTTCAACGTTTGCTGATCTTCCCATGTCTGTCTGTCTTCCCTTCCTCCTCTCTTCCCAACCAGCTTCTGATTGAGATCATCGACGCCTCCTCGGTCATCACCTGGGACTTTGACATGTGCAAAGGTGATGTGGTTTTCAACATCTACCACTCCAAACGGGCCCCCCAGCCTCCGCGTAAGGACCCCCTGGGAGCCCACGGCATTACCTCCCCGGGAGGTAACAATGTCCAGCTTATTGACAAGTCATGGACACTGGGGCAGGATTACAGCATGGTGGAGTCTCCTCTCACCTGCAAAGAGGGCGAGAGCGTGCAGGTGAAGTTCTGCAATCTTGAATTAATGCATAAATACCCTGTTTGTTTTTTAAAAATATTCGTGTTGTTTTTGCTTGTCAGTCTTTGAAGTTGTCTGTACTGTCAATCTGTCTTCTCTTCAGGGCTCCCATATTACCCGGTGGCCAGGTTTCTATATCCTCCAGTGGAAGTTCCACAACATGCCGGCCTGCTCGGCCACCAACCTGCCCCGAGTGGATGACGTGCTGGCCACCCTGCAGGTCTCCTCCCACAAGTGCAAAGTCATGTACTACACCGAGGTGCTGGGCTCTGAGGACTTCAGGTTAGTCTGCGCGTGAGTGAAAGACATGCATTTGTGTCCACATATGAAGCGTATCTATGTGTCCATAGTTTTGCTTGCCATGATTATGTGATAGTTTTAATTTCAAACATTATTCCTGTGATTGCTCATTTTTCACTCCAGCCTTCTTCCAGTTTCCCCCTCTACAACCTACCACATAGTGCTGTGATGACATTTGATATTTGGATGATTTAAATCTGTAATGTTGCTTAAGTGACGCCATGAAAAGCTTTAAGAGCATCAAGAGTTTTCTAGGCCCAGAGTTTTGAAATGAGGATGCTTCCCTCCCTTGGAGACTCCTTTAATCCATCTTTTTCTGTCCAATCCGCTCCTGTTCTATCGCTCACAACCCCCTCCTCCTCCCCCTCCTGCTCTGTCTTCCTCCTGTGAAGAACGGCTTGCTGTGATGTGCGGAGTCTGTAAGTGGCTCAGCGTTTGCCCCTTTTCCTTTTAGCGCTAGCTCATCATCATCGCTGCTAATTTGAATGGCCCCCTCAATGACATTCACGCTGCTGATGCAGAGACGCTTATTTGCATCTTTTTTTGCTTAAGGCTTTTGTTAGCATTGGCATAACAGGATCTTGTTGCTTGGTAAGAATCCTTGCACTGAGACTACAGTCTAAATCTCCCCTTGCTGGCTTCAGTCACCCTGCTTGCATGACTAACAAAATCAGGAACCTTAGACTGTGTTAAGTTCAGCACACTGGTGCTCTACTGCTATTAAAGTATGCACACGCAACATGTGCACCTGTATACCTTCTCACAGATGTTTGCTTAAGTTTCTACTTGTTTTTCTGCACTCATCCATTCATACTACCAACTTACTGAAGGTCACCGTGCTTTCAGTGCACCTGCTGTTTCATTTTACATCGGCCTCTGAAACTGACTTGAGATCCCCATCTAACTCATTCTAGTAGTGTTGAAGGGGATTTTTTGCTAATTGTTGGCACATCTGGTTGAAGTTTCACCAACACCAACCTTGAAATTTTGGATATAGTTATGAACAGATCAACCTATTTTTCGTCTTTTAAAAAAATTTAAATAAATTTCAATCAATGATTAATTTATTAAGCAGAAATGCCATGTTTCCATCTTCTCAAATGTAATGATTTGGTGATGTTTTTTCAGTTTTTATATATATATATTTAAAATTTAGTGATTTTGAGTTTTGGACTGTTTGGTTTTATAAAAAAAAAGTCACACTTGAGCCTTAGATGTAACTTTTTCACTATTTCAGATTTTTTTTAAATAAAACTTTACATGGTCACATATCACAGTTGTTCATAATCACTTTACCCATTCAAGACTCTGTGCTTACATTTATTTTTTGGGCCCCAGTCCTGATAAACATCAGTGTATTTCTTTTGTTTTTTTTGTTGTTTTCTTACATTAAACATACAGTATGCACAAGACACAGGGAGATTATTTTATGAAACTGCGGCTTCTGTCAAAAACAGACTGGCGGTGAATATTGAACTTTAGCACATCGAATTATAATCACAATATCTGGCAGAATAATTGCAGTTAGACCCCCCCCCCCCCCAAATCGTTCATCAGCCCTAATTGGTATGATATGAATGAAATATTTACTGAGATATTCTGAGCCCTGAAACTGACATAACTCAGTCAGCTGGTGGACTGATGTTTCCTTTACTTCATAAACAAGTATTGGCTGACTACAGACGCAGTGTTTGCAGAGAGCACACAAACCCCAAAGTTTAGTTTCAGCCTGTTATCAAGTTAATTATGGAATTATGCGTTAGTTAGCGACAGCTGATATGACCTGCCGTTTTCCATTTAAAAGCGACGATCAGCTCAGGCTGAAAATGAGAAGCTGCTACCTGAATGTTCTGTACACTGAGCTGTGCTAATCAGAGTCAGAGCTCAGTCATTCGCACCAGTATAACTTAACACATTGGCAGACTTTAACATGCAAAACTGTAGGGCCTTGCTGTTTTGCTTTAAAGATATGGCCTTATGAAGGTGCAATGCTGCTACTTCCTGTAGCACTTCCCAGATGGCAGCTGGGTGAACAGGCTGGGGTGGGTTACATTATCCAACTAGGGATAAAGTGTCTTGCTCAGGGACACAATGGATGGGTCACAGTGGGGGATTGAACCTGGGTCTCTCACACCAAAGGCATAGTCTTATCCATTGCGCCATTGCCAGGTTAATAACCTTTAATGCAAAATAGGGCAGTTGTGGTAAGAAATTGTGATACTTGACCTTGTAATGTATTATTATGTATATTTGCATGTCATTAGATTGTTTGATACAAACGTGCTAGTGCATTTTCATGTGCTTTCATACATTCTGTAGGTCTATATGATACATCATAGACAGGGGCTTTATCAAAAAATTGATATTTAATGTGAACAAGACACAAAAAAGGGCAGCTAGGCCTTCAAACATGTAAGGAAGCCACAACACCAAAGGCTTTTTTGGTTTGCATGTGAGAGAGTGGAAATACTTAACAAGAACCCTTTTCCATTGTAGTGTTTTTGAAAATACTTCACCAGAACAAGCAAAGACTTGTGAGGTTGATATCCTCACAACACATCCACCTTTTTCCACCTGAAACACTATTTGTTGTTGCAGCCTGCAACAAATCCTGAGCGTTGTGGGCCACTCAGAGATTGAATTAATCTCCCTCCTGCAGGTTTGATCTGTCTGCATGATTCTGCATCATGAGCACGAGTCGTGCGCACAGAGCGCATTCAGTTAGTCACTGGCAGACTGCGGTAGCTCAGGTGTTGCACCCATGTGAAGTTAACGGAAGAGTGTTTGTGTCCGCTCACAAGTCTCTCTCTCTCACCGCAGGGGTTCGATGACCAGCCTGGAGTCGAGCCACAGCGGTTTCTCTCAGCTCAGTGCCGCCACCACCTCCTCCAGTCAATCACAGTCCAGCTCAATGATCTCCAGGTAGAAACTGGAAGCCTAAGACTCCAATCCCCACAATCACTCCCCCCTCCCCCTTATGCTGCCCTTACCATCAACTCACAATTCTTCTCCTGCCCTTCCTCATTGTCTTTTGACCTACTGCACAGCAAGTCTCTATGGAACTGAAGCATGCTTGCACAAACAGAAGACAAAGAATAAAATAAAAAAAATCTGAGGCAAAAAGAAAAAAAGACTATATGTACAATTTAAAGGGCTGATTTTTGCACAAAGGTCATATTTTTTTTTTGTGCCTGGCATCTCTGCTGGGCAGTAATTTGAATCAGAGCATCAGCAGAATGTTTGTTTGCGTCGTGTCCCGCACAGGGTGGAAAGGTTGAAGTTCAAGAGCTGAAACACCTTTTGTGGCACTGGAAGCCGAAAGAAGCAATATTCTCATCCTGGGAGCAACGGGACCGGCTGAAGACACTGGAGGCACTGTTACATATATGCATTTACATCTACACTCACAAATACAGTACTGAGACGACGCATACCTCATTCATGTGCGTTGGCTGAAAAACTGGATGTGCTGTTACATGCAAACACCACCACACGCACAGTGTTTGCCATATTACCAGAGGGGTTTCTTCAATCTGGTGAATTGTTTATAGGTCAAGTGTGGGTGGGTCTGGGAAACTCTAAACTAGACCTGGGTCGAATATGATGCAATTAATTTGTTATTTTAAACTGCACGGAGCTACGGAGTGGGTGGAGCTTACTGAATCACGGCAATGCAGATGGTGTCAGCAAAGTTGCCAGCTACCGGGGGGAAAAAAACATATTTTCCCGTGGCTGTGTGAGCTTTCTGTCGCTCACGTTGTTGTTTTATGTGGCAAACCCCGCCCGTCCGTCTCACGAGGGCTTTATCACACCTTGAAAAGCATTTGAGTATTTGACCTGGGTCTGAGTCTTGGCGAAATAATCCGCTAAAAGCAATAACACGAGTTTGACTTCCTACTGTGTGAAATATTTCTACTTATCATTAAGATATGTGTGTGGAGGATCATGGGAACTGACTGCAGATGACCACCTTTGTTGTTGTAAGCTGTGTACAGATACGGGCAAACTGAGCCAGTAAACAGCTAAATTCTGTGGCAACAACTTTATCATTTCTCGTCTCTTGTTAACATTCTGTCAGGAGAGAAACAAAAATAACTCGCCAGATTTTCTCCTGGACATGTTTTATTTTCTTTGGAGTGACGACAGCTGGTTGGCTTTCTGTCCAGCGCCTACACGGTCGAGGAGCTCCAGTTGAAATCAAGTCGTAAAGGAGATGCCTTGTCACTGATTTGTGAATGTGCTACTGATTGGCTTAGTGCTCGCTAACCAATGAAATGTCTGAATTTGGAGGGTTGTAATTGTGCAGAACTGCCATCATTCTCCACTTATTTTTTTTTTTTTCCAGAGTGATGTAGACTTCAGCGTGCATTAGGGATGAATGTTACTTTGTGATTATCATTAGATGGTGCTCCAGTGGAGAACATATTGATACTGTACATGTGTTAGTGTTTGTTGGAGTTTGTTACTGTTTTTTTGGAGATGAGTACTTGATGGGGTTGAAGCAGTGTGTTGTGGTACTGCGTGCTCACGTGGTGATTGGGTTTACAGATCTAATATTTAAAAAAAGTAATTAAGATATAGCCATTTTAAGAGTCATGTGTCAATAAATACCATTTTAGCCTTTTGTAAGCATCACTTTAGAAACGTACCTGCTTTTTTTTTCAAGGTCACTACTGTTTAATAGATGAACGATTGTGAGCTGAATGATCATTTCTAAATACAACACGTCCATGCAGTGGTTTTTAAAATGCAGTTTATGTGGTTGATAAGAATTGATGACTTTATGTAGAAATGATCACCATTACCATGAGTCAGTGCATGCTGTTGCCATGGTTGCCGAGTGCAGCTGACAGCAAAAAAACAAACAAACCCCAAACCGATAAGACACAGAGGTTTTCTCCTTATATGGGAATCATCCTCCTGAAAATACTGACCCTGCCTGTTTTTAAATACATTTTGAACTATTAATGAAAGGTCAAGGGTTAACTTGTGGGAACTATATGTCATTAACTGCAATAACATGAAATGCTTCACTGGGGGGGAAAAAGGACCTCCTCAGATTGTGTGCTATTGAGTGTGTAAAAGAATGAATGTTGGAAACGGTGGGGTTAAATGATATGCCTGTAAAATATCTCTGCCCCTCACGGCAGGTGTGTTTCTCTACTCGGCCTCTTCTCACTTTCTGAAGCATGCCTAGAACCACACGACTGACTTTCCTTCACCTGGTTATTCCTTGAGGAGATTTCCATTTAATGGTTCGGCTGATGATGAAACAAGTAACATCAGATCCAGACCTGACAACTCTTACACTTCCTTTTGGCTCTGTTTCTGCTCTTTGTCACTTGTACACTCCAGTTTTGCTGTGTTGCTTTCAAACACTTCATTGTGTCTATCTCAGAAAGCAGAGTGGACCTTGTTTGAAGCCATAGGCATAAAGAAGAAGTGTGCTCAGATCAGATGTTTTTGTTTCCTTTCTTATTAAATTCACTGCTGTCTCCTGCACCTCTGACTCTTTCATCAAGATCTCATTGACAAATGAGGGCTATAACTGTTTGTCTGGACTTTAAAACTTTCTGTCTCTCCGCCTCCTTTTCTGACATCGTTGCATATCTTTTCTTGACCTTGATGTGAGGAATTATGTAATATGTACATGTTTCAATTAATGAGAATATGGCGCCTTTACATTTTTTGAAAACAATTAAACTTGAATTATGGGAAAATAAAAATACACTTGTGTCACGTTCATTTACATTTTCTATGTGTCTTTGCTAGTTTTGCCTGTTATGAATGAAGTTAACTACATATTAACATATTGACTGTTTTATTGTCTAGAGATTGAAATAGCTGAAAATTGTGTTAATGTGTCTCCCTACATTTTGTAGTCGCTCTGCATTCACTTTTTAATGACTTTTTAATAAATTAGATTTATAAAATTGGGTTTCATGTTTGCTGCATCACTTCACTAATGATCAAAAAAGATAATCTGTCCCCACTGACCTTATTGTCCTCATTGCAAATTGCTGCTTTTCAGTCTGAATCGTCAGTACTGCCAGTTCTGCGGTGTGTGAGGTCAAGTCGGTGTTACAGCATGTAGGGGGAAATGCAATGCTGGTTACTTTTTTAAGGTGCAGATCAGAGGAAAGGGAAAGTAACACAAAGGTTGCGAGATCACATGATAGTGAAGAAATACTGTAATCTGATTCAAATAACGTCTGCAGAGTGGTGCCCATGACCCAGCATCTCTGTTTGTTCAGAATTTAAACAGGAAGTCATGTGACATCCATTTTCTTTACAGCAGTCAGGGTAGGCTCTAATTTTCTAATACTGGTGTGATTATCGGTATGACTTGTGAGGCATTAGAAATTAATTCCACTTTATAAACAAGGGCGAAGAACCGAGGTACACCAAAGTTCACAGGAATATTTCAGCATTTGCATAATAGATTTTTCAGCATTTTTGCCTTTTGATTTGACAGTGTAAATGTGGGGTGAAGGAGAGATGTCCTCAGCTGGAACCGAACGGAGGACCAACGTATCGACCATTACAGGGGCAACCCCAGCTGAAACATCCTGTTGTCCTACATATTCCTGTAGAACCTTTAGTGCCTTTATAAGCCTTATAAGACCGTAGTGCATCAAGCATTTCCAATATCTCTCTTCTCTGGTGGATCATTCTCTTCAGTTGACTCAGTGGTCAGTCTCTCAGTGTCCTGGTATTATCACACTCAAATTCAGCTGCCTAGTCACTTAAAGAGAGAATACATCAAATATTTGTGGCTTGATATTATAAGAAAACATAATAACTGAATTAATTGTCTGGATAACTGTTAAAAATACAGTGCAGTCTTTTTTTAATTTTTTATCTGTAATTTGCACTTTTGGCCAACAGATGGCAGGATTTACCCACATTACATCACCGCTCCGCCGTCACGTTGGCGTCAGTACACGGAAGCCAAACGGTGACACAACACTGGCGCTGCTTGTTCACGTTGCTCCTATATCCGTGATTATCAAACAAACAAACAAACTTCCCTTTCCAACTGAGGTGTCTTCCTCTTCACCAGGCCCGAAACAAATGTCCGCTCCTCCTGACGAAGATTTGGTGAAGCAGTGGGAGAGGTCAGAGTGCTATTCTTACATTATGTACCTGAACTAAATACAGAGAGTGCACGTGATATTGCTGGAATTTATCTCCACAGTGTAGCTACTTGTTGTCACCTGTGGTTGTCACTTACCTGAAGTTGGAGCTTGGTAAAACCCATAGACTGTATAAAACAAATGCAGTGCTGCAGATGTCACCATGCCACCAGTCCTCAGCAGGGCAGTGATTTGTCAGTTTGTATTTGTGAGTCCAGCAGAGGCGTGTTGACATGCAATGCCCTGAGTAGAAGTGCAGACCACAGGATGTCTCAGCCCGGATATAAAGTCAGCAAAAAAAGAAAGGTCCTCTCACATTCAGCTGCTTTTAGTTGAAGAAAACTCAACATGTGTAAATATTTGTATGAACTTCAAACAACAACTAAGACATGAACCGAATTAAGTTTCACAGACATGTGACTAACAGAAATTGAAAAAAGTGTCCCTGAACAAAGGGAGGTCAAAATCAAAAACTAAGTCTTGTGTGGCCTCCATCTCCCCTGGTGAGCCAGTCCTGTCTGGTCCAGCGAAGGTGGGTTTGTGCCCATAGGTTGCCAATGATGTCTGTTACGGACCTGCCTTACAACAGAACAGGCCCACAAGCCCTCGGTCCTGCCTCTCTCAGCCTACTGCGGACAGTCTGAGCACTGATGGAGGGATTGTGAGCTCCTTGTGTAGCTCGCGCAGTTGTTGTGACAATCCTGTCCCTGTCCTGCAGTGGTGATGTTCTGATGTACCAATCCTGTGCAGGTGTTGTTACACATGATCTGCCACTGCGAGGACGATCAGCTGCCTTTCCTGCCTCCCTGTAAAGCTGTCTCACAGTACAGACATTGCAATTTATTGCAGCATGCCTAAGGCACGTTCACACAGATGAGCAGGGACCTTGAGCATCTTTCTTTTGGTGTTTTTCAGAGTCAGTAGAGAGGTCTCTTTAGTGTTCTAAGATTTTATAAAAGTGACCTTAATTGGCTACCGTCTGGATGCTGTTAGTGTCTCGGAACGACTGTTCCACAAGTGCATGTTCATTGATTGTTTTTGATTCATTGAACAAGCATGAAAAACATTGTTCACAACATTTACAGTAAGTTGTTTGGATGTCTACAGAATTATATTTGAAAAGACTGCTGAGTTTACTATAACATTCACCTTCATCCCCTGGACTGAACCAGCTACACTTACCAATTGCACTGCCGTCATGGACTTTGACACCACTGCACTATTAACCGCACCTTTCATCTAAGCATACCATTGCACTACTGTAAATTCGTACCGCACATTCTGTATATACTGTAAATCATTCCCTAGACATAGACATTACTACTGTACATACTGTATAATCCCCACAATAGTCACATTTGCACTACTGTATATATTTTATATATTGCCATAGTCATAACCTGTTCATAGCCTGTACTTACCTTTAGCAATAGACAGACATTCATGTAGACATATATTTATATATCATTCATACCTTGCACTTGTATAATAATGCATTATATTCTTTTTAATTACTGCTTAAGCACTTCCGGTTAGATGCTATCTGCATTTTGTTGCTTTGTACCAGTGACATGTGCAATGACAATAAAGTTGAATCTAATCTAATCTAAAAAAAAACTGAACCTGTTCTTGTAACCTCTCAGAATAGAGTAGCGTTAGATCTGTGCAAATGAATGGGGAATAAAAGCTTTAAATTCACTATAAACCTGCCAGAGCTAGAAGAATTTGTTATGTGAAAAAACAAAACAAAATATATTCTTTGTTTTATATTATATTTACATAAGTTGAATACCTTTTATGTTTGTGATTGTTGATCGGACAAAACAAAACATTCTGGTCAACTTGTTTTACTAATTTCCTGATTAAACACAATATTGGTACAGGAAATACTGCAAAGATGTACAGTAGACCCATATGTGTGATGCCAAAGAAAAGCAGGTTTATTTAATGGCAGGGAGAAAATAAAAACACAACAGTTATGTATGCTAAAGTCTGTGTTCCGGGCAGAAAAGAAAAGAGCTTTCTTTAAGCAACAATGCCAAAGAACTTTGGTGGTTTCAGCTTCTCTGCATGTTTGATTTTATAAATTAAAGCTATTCTTTGACATGTATGATAGTAAATGACATACCTTTCGGTTTTGGACTGATGAAACAAGCTATAGGTAACGTTGGGATATAGTACTTTATAAGAAACATTTGTCAATATTTTCACAATTGTCTGACACTTTATAGTCAAAACAACAAAAAGAAAAATATTTGCAGATGAATTAATTATAAAAAATAATCCTTAGATGATCCCCTAGAAATACTAAGTAAAAATTTGAGCCCTTTTGAGAACAGTCTCAGTCTGTAGTTATACCATCAGGGGCGTAGCCAAGCCACCAACCAAACTCTGTATTTCCTAGTATCTTAGTATATTTTAACAAATCTTATTTCTCTACTTTATGGTGTGGTGCCAGGTACGTTATTCTGGTGTAGAATAAAAATATTTATGGCCAGCCTTAAAACACCCAACTTGTGTAGCCTGCTATGTGTAATCATAGAATGTCGACTCTAAAAAACTGTTTCCAACTAATCATAATTAATAATACTGGATTATTAATTATGGACTATATAACTAATGTAAACAAAACGTCAGCAGTATTATAACACTGAAAACTATGATTTATGTCTAACTGGAGTCCATTTAACAGAGTACACACCATGAGAGTGATAGCAGTGGCCAATCTTGTGTTATTACAGATTGTACATTTTGAATAGGTGTTTTGTTCTGACATGAAGTATTTCTCGTGTGAGTTTTTGTCCCTGCTTGAGTCCTGTGTTTGCACCGGTAGGCTCAGTTGTCTGTTCTCTGTGCAGCGAGCAGGCCCGTCTCAGACAGCAGGTGGTGGAGGATGACACTGAGGACTGGCAGAGGTGTCCAGACTTCTCGGGCCTGGAGAGAGTCGGAGGAGTGGATCTCTCCTTCATCAAAGGAGATGACTTCAATGCCTGCGCCCAGCTCGTGATACTCAGCTACCCAGAGCTGGAGGTGAGCTGTCCCCTCACACACAGTCGTTGACATATGAATGGAATATATGAGCTTTGTCCACCTCTAGTGGTGACAGGTGGGAACAGCACAGTCTTGTGGCACAGAGCCCCCACCACTTACATAAGAGGAGCCTGCCAAAAAAATTCACAGTAGAGACAAGAAAGATAATCAAATAATGTATTCAACACATATTGTGACAATATAACAATATTTTGTGTAAGGTGTTTCCTGCTGAGATTTCATTGTCATTCATTATAGACTTAAATCACTTTAAATGTACTCCTTTTCTTTGACTCCTGAATGCTGGCTGCATGAGGGAGACTGTGGACACACTTAGCAAATGACTCATACTTTCACCAAGGCTGTGTGGATGGTTTTGGCAGCCGCTGAAGTGGTTTCTCTGGATCTCTCTCTCTCTCTCTCTCCAATCATGAACTTTCTTACACCAAAACAGATACTATATAATCTGTGTTTGTTGCCTGTCCAGCAGCCCTGCTTATAGTTTTATGGATAGTTTGCATATTCGACTCTTAAAGCAACTGGTTTTTGATGTCCTGTGTCTGTTTCCACTTGTTGTTTTATAAGATATTATCAGGGGATTTTTGAAAAGCACTGTCCAGCAGCACTCTCAAGTGCCAGGGAGCGGCTATTAGATGCATAGAAAACATCAGTCTTCTATGCATTGGCAAGATGTATCATAGATTACATATTTACACTGCAGTATAAACAAATAAATACTTTATTACTACATACTTGACCTGCACGCATTCATGATTTTTTACTAGAGGCAAACTGTAACTGCAAGATGTCAAAATAATGCACGAAAGTTTATTCCGGACTTTGACAAACAAGTATCTTAACTCAAGGTCTACTTACTAGGTTTTGGTGGGATTAGCTCGCTGTACTATGTGCAAACCAGGGCCTTAGGTCTGTACTTAGGTTATGTTATGACAGGTGTTGAAAGTAATTTTAGTTTTTTTGTATCATTTGTTCATTAGCATAATAACTTATATTTAACCTATATTTAAACCTGCATTAATTATTGGTGTTGTTTTTTTATCCACTTCGGGGCAGCTGAACGAAGAAGAAGTTGTTTAAAAAATCAACAATATCCAAACTCAAAAGGAGCCTTCGAATGTCATTGATTCAGTAAAACAACCTTCTAATCACTTAATGCGTGTGATTTTTAATGTCTTTTACCGAAAACAGTGGACATTTTAAATCTCATCCAACTAAATTTTTCAAGTCAACCTCAGCACTAAAAGCAGACTTACCAAGCATACAAATAAATATTAATACAGCATTGTTAAACCAGCTGTTGTTAAAGTGACCTTGGCAGTCCCAACTTTCACTTCATTTATAATTTGTATAGCCTTTCACAAGCATTCCTCCTTCCTGCTATTTATCTGTGTATTAGCATGGGCTTCTGGCACCTTCTTATTATATAACCCATTATAATTAATGACATTTGTCACTGTAAGTTGTTGATACATGGACCCAACGAGGCTAATGAAATGTTGTTCAGAAATGCTGTCCAATAATGGGATTATGTTCCCAGCTTGTTTTCAATTTACACTGCCACCGTAGGCCATTAGTGACACAAGGTAATAATGGTAACATGATGCACAGTGTGTCCACTGCTGCAGAGTTTCACAGGAAAAAAGGCCAACCTTTGAAATGAAATTGTATATTTTGAAACTGTAATTGAATATTTAAATAAAACAATCCTAAACAGGAGCTCAACACACTTTACAAACTGTAAATTTGAATAAATATGCTTCTAGCATAAACAACCCTAGTTGTTGAAATCCTTGACAGTAATACCTTCCCACATAACAATCAGTGATGTTTTATCACCTCTGCTTAGCAGAGGGGGATGGCAGTCACTGCAGTCAGCAGTACGACATTGACATATCTGGAATGGTTGTTGACATTTCTGATTCAGAAAACATCTTTCTATCGAGGCGTCATGGGCTTTCCTCTGTGCACGAACAAGAGCTTTCATGTGTTTTATTTGTAGCCACTGCTGTAGGCCTTTTGTATTTGATGTTGCAGCACTATGCACCTTGGCACATCCTCGCGTTGTGAGCAGAAACAGATTTTCACACTAGTCAAAGAGTTGTAACAGCTTGAGCACCAGAGCACCGTGGCTTCTATCCTCCTGAGCCCTGCTGACACTCCATGGGATACTTGAGAAAGTTATCATGGGAGATTTACCTGTGTTGGTGTTGGCCAAAAATATTTGTGTAAAGATCGGGATGTGCATGAATACCGTCAATGTGTACTTAGTAGAAAAACATTACTGTACATTTCAGGATAGAGGAGCAAAATGTGATAATTTTAGGAATCCAAATCCTGAACCAATGAATCAAGAGTTTAATTTTAAAACCTCAGTCAGAGCCTTTTATCTCTGCTTTGTAACAGACACCATATCATTAATTACTGTTACCATATTTGGATAGTAAGACTATAGGACAACAAACAGACAGCAACATGCAAAAGATTTAGCTCAGAAATGACAGATGATTGTAATTCTGTCACAGGAATAACATACAATCATATACTTGATCATTTTGCTTTTATATGTCCTAAAATTTCCATGACTACATCGAGCTTTCTGGCTTTGCTTGTGGTTTTTAAGATTGCTTATTGAGTCTGAGTTCTGCCTTTTGATCGTTCTTCCTTTGCTCCAAAAACAATTACTTACTTTTATCTTTGTTTAATTGAAGAAAATTCAGGCACATCCAGTCATTGATTTGTTCAGTACATTAACTCAGCGCTACGGTATTATTGTCCCCCGGTGACAGGGTTTTGTACATTTCTGAGTCGTCTGCATAACATATTTTGTTGACTTTCATAATCTGAGCCAGTTGAAGCATGTAGATGTTAAACCGAAGAGACCCCAGAAGGTAGCCTTGCGGAACTCCACAGGTCATTTTTGTTTGCTCAGATGTGTAATTACCTAAAGACAAAAAGTAGTCCCTGTCCTTTAAGTACAATCAAACCAGTTAATTACTGTTGTGGTCGACCGTGTCGAATGCAGCACTGAGATCCAATAATACTATTCTTCCACTGTCTGTTTAAATTGATGTCATTGAAGACCTTAACAAGAGCTGTCTCAGTGCTGTGGTGCGGAATGGAATACATCAAAACTGTTAACTGCCAAAAATTGGTTCAGCTGTTGACAAACAGCTTTTTAAGTGATTTAGCTTAAAAACAGGAGGTTTGATATGGGCCTATAATTGCTCATTAGTGACATGTCTAGATTGTTCTTTTTTAACAGTGACTTGATGACTGCACTTTTCAGGGCCTGTGGGAAGAAACCTGAGAGAAGAGACATGTTGACAATTTGCGGAAGATATGAGGCCATGCAATTAGAAACATTTTTGAAAAAGTTGGCAGAATATCAAGGCAGCAAGAGGAGGATTACAGATGTTGTATAAAGTCCTCCAGGTTTTTGTGGATGATAGGATCAATTTGTCATGCTATCTGTATTGATTTTGAGTAGTTTAAATGGCAATACATTAGTTGACGGGCACATAATGACTTGTTTAGGATTCTGAACTTGAGACTTCATAGCAAAGTCTTGGGGCTTACTTGTGATTTGCAAAACAATGACTTTGTCCCACCTCTGAATATAGCTCTGCTCTGTGAAATTTTGATTATACTTGCAATCTTACATGGATTATGCCGATATTTGCGCTATTTAAACTGTTTTCAGCCAGAAGACTTTACCTCACAGAAACCAGAATACACAGTACCGTGGATATAAGCTTAGAAAAGGGCAGTAGGATTTTTGTTTTAGTACATGATATAAATACCTGCCACCAACCATGTTTTAATGTCTTTGAATTCAAACCTCATCTATTAAAGTCCAACTGAGCTCACAATTAGTCATCCCTTTTTTTTGCACTCAAATCATTTCAACAGAATTTTTGTATGAATATTTTTTATTACTGAAAGTCAGAAATTATTTTTTTTTATCCTTTAGCCTCAAAGCCTCTGAGGGGATGGCTATGGTATGTTTGATTGGCAGCTGAGAAAGCAGCTAGCTAAATAGCTTACTAGCCTGTGCTGTTAGCTGTGCTATGTTTGTTTCATAGCTCATTCAGCATGCAAAGGTGCAACATAAGATGTGTGTCCATGCTTTTAGATAAGCAGGAGGCATTAGTTAGAAAGCTACTGGGTTTTTTTTTTTTGTGTGTGTAGTGTGTTGGTTAGTGTGACTGTCAACCAATGAATGGTGACATAAGTGCTCTCTGCATATTCTAACAGTGTCCACTTCTAAACACAGCACGTTCAGAATATGTTCACAGCCTTAAATCTACAAGATGTAACAGATGTTTCATTTTGTGCCAGGTGGGGGATGTTAGTGATTATGTTGCACAGCTTGTATGTGCGTCTGTGGACTCACCCTCACATATACACTGGGGTGGACGCATTTGTCCAAAGCATGCTGCACCTGAACTCTGACAGTGTCATTGCCTGAGCTCCATTCAGGACCACAGATCCAAACCCAGTGCTGTTGTAACAGTGAATTAACACAGCATGAATCACAATGAGTGAGCAGGTAGTGGATCAGTGCCCGAAAAAATGTCTGTCCCCTCCCCGTTACCAGATGCTGTATGAGGACAGTCAGATGGTGACCCTGACGGCCCCCTACATCGCTGGCTTCCTGGCGTTCAGAGAAACCCCATTCTTCCTGGAAGCTTTGCAGCGGCTGGAGAGGAACCAGCCTAAACTTCTGCCTCAGGTCAGCTTCTGCACACACACATTAATAGGGTTATAAAAACATATTTCTTCCACCTGTTTAAGGACACCTGTTCATAAGTTTAGTGTGTATGTGATTCATCAAGGTACTCTATAAATTAGGAGAACAAGTGACAGGTGTGATACAAAGGGAGTACCTCAAATGACTTCACTAGATATAATTAAACATTTTGAACTGTTAGACGGGATTTGGATCCTCTATGTCAGGCATTTTGAAAAATAAGGTGTGGTGTACGCCAAGCCCTCTCTTCATTTTTGATCCTTGATGGCAATAAACCAACTTTTGAAAGTCTGCATCCACGCTAGCATTGGCTGGAAAGTATGCTTATTAGCCTTCTTTCCAAGGTGAGATGATTGATACCACTCTAATGTCTGTGAGCACAGACCTGGAATGAGGAAGTGGTTAGCCTAGCTTAACAAAAAGACCGGCAGGAAGGGGGACCTAACCTGGCTCTGTCCAACATTTAAAAATATGCTTATGATAGGACTCTAAAGCTCACTTATTAACACTTTATATCTCAGTGGTTTAACCTGTGCATAAACAGAAACGTGAAAACAAAATAAATTGTGCTTACCAACTTTATCTGGCAACTTGTGCTACAGCTGGAGAAGCTGCACAGAAATCCTGGGCTAATAAAATGAAATAGTTAAATGTTTCTTCTTTTGTAAATAAGATACACATTAGCTTTAGTAGTGTTTGTAGGAATAATTCTTGCCAACATGCTTAGAAATTGGAATTAGTATTAGTATTCGTTATACCATGCTAACTGCATGTAACTTCAGCATGAGCACAGTTAGTATAACTGTGCTCAAATTTTAGCATTTCGGCTTGCAATGCTAGCCCTAATCTTAAAGTACAGATGAGGCTGTGGATTTTGGTCACTCATTTTCTAGCTATCAAGGATGAACTGAAGAGATGAGTGAGTGGAAACAAACCCAACAAGATTGACATGATTGGCTGTGTTTAAATGGTGTAAACCTTACCTTACTTTGTGCACATTTAAACACACAGAATACATTACAGCTACCGTGACAAAGCTCTTCTGTTCTCCCTCTCTCTCTGTTTCTCAAAAAGTCGCATCTAATTCATCCTCACCCACTCACTTCTATCTGTCACAGCCCACATGCCTCCTTCGCTCCCTCACACTCTGTCACTCTGTCACCATGCATGCAGGTGTACAGAAACACACACACTTTTCACCCACCACATACACTCAGTTTTACTTCCACTGACATTTAGCCCTGGACAGATGCAGTCACTGCTCCCTTTATCTGCAACATTTGAAGTGAGTTATTCCCGGTGACTTGGCTTCAAGAATTCATCCGTGTGGGAGGTGGCAGAGTTAGAATACCAGTTTGAGGCTCTAACTAACTTTAACCTATGAAACTCAGGATAAACTTGCTCTGCTTTGTCATACTCTACATCGGACATTGTACCAGACAGTGATAGCAGCTGTGGACATAGACTAGATAAGTTTGAAGAAAGCTTCACAGCAGGTATTTGAACTTTCAAGGCTGGCAGTTCATGTGGGGAAATTGATGTTGACATCTTTGTAAATGCTATGAGTCCCAAATAGGGATGGGGATCGATACCCGGTTCTAAAAGGACCCGGTTCCAAAATTTCTCAAAACCCAAAAATCAATAAGGTCCGAGCTTATCGATACTGCTATCGAGACTAGCAGGTCTTGTAATGTAACGTTATGTCTCAAGCATCAAATCTGATTTAACTTGAAACAAGACTTGAACGTTCATTACACCTGTGATTTTCCTGCAGGGCTGTACAAAAGGCCTAGAACCTTGGAAAAGTGTTTAAGAACAAATGCTGAACAGTTCAAGCCCAGAACTCACAGCCCTTTAGAAGAACACATTTTACTTGCTATTTAAAACAGTTAACAGCTCTAGCTTTATTTTGTACTATAAATAAATTATGTTCAGTGTGTGTGCCCTCTCAACAGGTGGTGTTTGTGGATGGGAATGGTCTCTTCCACTACAGAGGTAAGTAAAGCTGGTCTAAAATGCCCTCTGTTGATTTTTTTTTTTTTTGCAGCGGGATGCATCATGAGAGAAAAGCACAGATATATTTATTATTTTTCATTAATAACGTAGGTGTGATTCTGTGTTCATGTTGGCAGAAACAGGAGTGTTCACACATTATTCCAGAGTGGTTAGCCCCAGTGCTAACCCTGTCGTCACACCAGATAAATAAACTTAAATTAGCTACTTTGGCTGTGTTATGTATTTGTAGCCATTCTGTCAACAGTTTGTTGACATGTCGGTAGTTCATGCTTGCACACAGCCCTGACTCTGTAAATGGGAAACAAAGAAAGTTGCCCCCCCCCGCCACACAACACTATTTTAGCCATGATTTGTGTGTCAGGTAACTTTAAGTGACTTGCCCACGGACATTCAGCTTACTTTCTGGTTCACCAAGACATGCTGTTGTTGTGATGTTAACTATAGTAGCAGGAGAAAACGGAGAGGGAGAACAAGACAAAGGAATACACGCCTTATCTTAAATGTATCTGGCTGCAAGAGACATTTGACAGACATTTTCAATGTGAACGTACAGTGATATCATGTTATTAAATTAGATATTTGGATTGGGATCCACCTGAAGTTATTAAAAAACACTTGTAAAGAGTTCATGGTGAGCCCAAGAAACTGTGTAGGTCAGTTGGAGACATTGTGCAAACTGTCTTATATCTCTCTCTCTACTCTAAAAGCCTCAGCAGTATTTTGTCTTACTTGGTTGCGGTCCAGATTTGACCTTGTCACTGCTTGAATCCTGCAGAGTTCGGTCTGGCGTGTCATCTTGGAGTGCTGTCGGGGCTTCCGTGTGTGGGCGTGGCCAAGAATCTGCTGCAGGTGCAGGGCGTGTACAAGAATGAGGAGCACCAGTCACAGGTGAGAGAGATTTTAGACTACCTTTTTGCCAGACATGATCTCAGAGTAAATCTGTTTTTCCCCTTTTCCCCATTTCACAAAACACAATATTACACAAAACTCTAGTGGTACAACACTTCTTGTGGGTGATTTAACAGACCTCAAGTCAATTCAGAGTTTATTCAGTGGATGTGTTAAAGGAGCAATATGTAGTTTTCAGCTGCCACTAGCTGTGCGGTTTTAGTATTGCAAACAGGTGTGTGCTTGTATGCGTGCTTGAACCATAGGCTTGAACTCATGAGCGAGCATAATCCAAAACACAACCGCCTTCATACAGAGATCACACAATCAACACAGAAACATAGGCGTGCTGGCGGCTTTTCACACAGACATGTTCAGGCTCTGTTATTTCAGCGCTCCCAGCTCATACAGCACAGCGAGGCGGCATATTGGCACAATACTCAAAATAAGGCAGTGTGACAGCAGCTATAGACAGACAGGGAGACAGCTTCACACAACATGCTGGAAACTCAGGTAAACTCCCACTGCAACCTTATACTAATATTTTTATCAGCTTGAGGGTGAAGTAATCCATGCTCCTTACAATATAACGTTGCATTTACTGCATTTAGCCGACATGATACATCGGCGTTAGCTCACCTGCTGCTTTTCAGTAACTAACATTACTATCTGTGTATCTTTCACCAGAGTCTCAGCGATGTGAGCACGGCTAAATGTATTGGATGATAACGAAACAGTTAACGTTAGTGAGCTAGAATAAATATTATGAATGAGATTGTTGCCACACTTTTTAACAGTTAGACCTCAGTAAGTAATATTATTGTAGTGAATGGGTCATCCACTGTGGTATTATCCTGTGCAGTTATGTTACATACTTGAATACTACGTGGGTCACGTATTTTGTCGTGTTTCCTCCATCCCCAGCCGCTGCATATTCAACACACTTAATATTGAAGGCTTATACATTTACAAAACCATCAGCCATCATCAAACAAAAATACAAATATACTATTAAAACACAGAAAAGAGAAAGTCATTATCGTGGAAATTATATTCCTGGTGAGGGGTTGAGCAAATAATTGAGTTACAACCAACCGTTGTCTTTGAAGAATTTATTTAACAAAAGAGAATAAACAGAAGTACTGAAACACATATACAGCTGGTCCAGAGACCTGCCGCCTAGGGTGGCTTCGGGCGTCTGGCCCCGAGCAAAGGGATGCATTATCGTTTACACAGTCTAGGTTTCTATGTTTTGGGGAACAGAGATCCTCTCTCAGCCTTGAATGAACATTCCAGGAGAGGAGAGAAACAACAAGAGAGGGAAACACCAAAACAATCTCACAGCTCTGACCTAAACACTAGTAAATGTGGACAGACTAACATAAAGAGTATAGGGGAGGAAAGGTCAAGGATAAAAACACAATACATATATCTATAAAGTTAAAGAGAATAGTAATAATAATGATAATATTAAAAGATCATACAAAAAAGATTAAATGTAAGAAGACACAATTTTCTGCCGTAACAGTCATCACCATCATAATAATAATTTCTACAATTATACAGTACAAAAGAGATTGTGAGAGTAATTAGTTTGCACTCACCATGCTACAATCTTTCCAGACCACACGGAGAAATGCACACCAGCAGAAATGGGGCCGCAGCATACAAAGTACGCAAATATTAAACTGGTATACAAAGGCACACTTCACCAACCAAACTAAAGGGGATAATTATTCAGCACTTAAGTTATCATGGACGCACATGAACACACACAGGATTCGATGTAGAGAAGATGTACACATTCTAATAGTTTCAGCTCTTATTTTGAAAGGCCTCCTCACCGTGACATCCCATAGCAAGCAATACCCTTAATTGGTTGACTGCATTTGTGGATCTTTTTAAAACTGTCAATGGCAAAACAGAGTAAAAATTATTTGTAGACAACTGCGATCGACAAATGTAGATTTGACGCTTGAATGCTGAGCAATGCACAGAATGTTGTCTTTAAACAGTGGGTTGACAATTTGTTGTACTGTTTGTCTGCATATTGTGTGCACTTGTAAAAAAAATTGTTTAAACAAGCGGAACAGTTGCGTCAAAATTTCATTTCAAATTCTGGTTTTCAAGTCGCTGATTTCTACTTGTGGATCATGATGTGTTTGTGGATTTTGCATCTATTTGTAGATCGTGTTTTGTGTTTACAACTTGTAATATATATTTGTGACTCTGGATGGAGATTGTTAATTTTTATTGATATTGAGCTTAATGATCCGATTCTTTATTGATACCACTATCGATACTTTACTATTATTTGGTGACGCTTATTTGGCAAGATCAGATCCAACAGGCATCAGGTTGGCCTGTAGCAGAAATCAGTTCTTAACTACAAATGACGAAGCGAGACTGTTAATCCCATTTAGACGTTCTTTAGTGAGTGAACAAAGGCCAAAAAAACATACGTATAGCGTGTGCTAAAACAAGAGTTACAGCATTACTTCCGGCCACACAACTGACGTCATCACCTCACGTACTCCCCTTTACTAGAGCCTCCTGGGTAATGAAGTCCCCTTTTTAATGTAACTAAATGAAATGCAGTTCTCCTTTAACTACATATTTAACAGATTAACAGTTTTATGAATATAAATGTTATCTTATTAATCCTTACAAATAATGTGTTCTCTTAATAAATTCTCAACAAGGCTTGCTATGAGGAAAATATTCAATGTGCGATAACATTGTTATATACTGACATGACATATGACTTGCGATAAATGGGTTTGGGATAATGGGTTTTAAATTAATTATAGGATTAGAATTTAATATTTTAAATAGAGCTAAATGTTGTTTCTAGAGCAGCAACATTAATGTTTACAACAGCAAAGTCACTATATATAAACTCAATATCTGACATCACAATAGTGAGTGACGTTTAGAAAGAATAAAAACTCAGACATCAGTCTGTATCAGCCAGCAGCTGAGTTTGTAACAGTGTGCCAAATTTTAAAACTACAGTCCAGTCTATGCCACAGACATACAGCTTCCTATTTAGCTAGTTTGTAACATTTGGCTAATGCCAAGCTAATGTTAGCTGTGCTTGTATAGAACATACAGGATGACTGAGTACAGAGATGATTAAATGAACCCTTTCTACATGACGAGACTATATTGATAAAGTATTGTCTTTTTACTTGCAAAGGATTTATTGCACGTACTTACAGTAACGAGAGTAGCTGTCGTCGACTCGATTAGTTTGGAGCTAACTTAACTTCACCGTCTGCACCGCGACGGTGCGGCGTCTCTCTCTGCTGGCCGCTGTGTTTGTGGATGTAGGAGCCGACAGAGAGCAGCAGAGGCTGCAGCCTGATGATAAACAGTCCTGGGCCCGTTTAATACCGCGTTTCGGTGCCATCTCTAAATAAACATTAGTTTTCTTATTAATCTTGTTTCAAGTTAAATCAGATTTGATGCTTGAGACATAACGTTACATTATAAGACCCGCTAGTCTCGATAGCAGTATCGATAAGCTCGAACCTTATTGATTTGTGGGTTTCGAGAAATTTTGGAACCGGTTCCTTTTAGAACCGGGTATCGATCCCCATCCCTATTTGTGACTCATAGTCTGTGCATTTACAAAGATGTCAACATCTCATTTCCCCACATAAACTGCCAGCCTTGACATGAGTCAACAGATTAATTATTTAAGTTATCAAAGTGTAAACACTTTTTTCTGTTGTGTTTATTGCATGCTGAATTCTTAAAAAAGCCAAGAAATGTCATTGAGGGACAAAGCAAAGGACAGAATCCTCAATTACGTGTGTGTGTGTGTGGGTTTGTGTAAGTGTGTAAGCTGTTTTGACAGTGTGACTTTTATTGCAAGCCAAGGCCTCCTTGTGTAGCTAATGCCATTGTGGCTTTTTGAATACAAATCAAGCTGGAACAAATACCTATTGGTCAAAGTATACCTGTGGGACAGCAAAAAACTGGATTTCATTAATATGCAAATGTTCACTTTCTTTCAGTCTGGAGCCTCGGTGACCTGTTTAGGAAAGAATAAAAACAAGTTGAAGTAAAATCTGCCTGATGAACAGCAGTCTGGCTAGAGTCTAAAACAAGAGGATAAACAGTAAATTGTCCTTTTTTCTAATTTAGCAGGATTTGGAGATAAAGGTAGATTCTGGTAGCTGCTTCTTTGAGCTTTGTTGTTGTTGCGAGTTTGAAGTTTAGACTCACTCTGTCTCTTTCTGCTAAGGAATTCTATAAACATATTTTCATTTTCTGATTAGATTTGCACATTTCCATAACTGCTACATGTGAACTTAACCTGATCAAACCAACACAAACATGGTGAGAGAAGCTGAACTCAAGCGCTTTCCCTAAGGAAAATATCAGTATGCATGTCGAACTGTAGAAGAATAGTGATGGCCATTTCCTGTAATGAAGATGACAAGCGCCACTCAAAACTTTCAAAGGCAATCAGCATGGATGGCTCTAGCAATCATCCTATCCACTGCTAACTCAATTAGCAGGCAAGACTCTCTGCTTATAACCCCAGTGGTTTTCATGTAGTAGTGTAACATGCTAATTCAGTCCTCTGGAGGAGGGTATCCATCTCCCTCAATTAGTGCTCGTGGCTTTGGCGTCAGAAAATGTTGTTTCGTCTCTACAGTGGGGAGGAATCTGATCTCTTTGTATACACAGAACATGATGTGCAGACTCGCATATCTACTGATGACTATCTCTGTGCCAAAATCCTAGCGGCTTGGACATGTTCGTTTTAAGTAACAGGTACCGTCAGCATTACACGCCCATGCTGCATCTTTGGGCTCAAGCTATTAGCTTTGGATTATTTCCTGTGCGTGAAATTTTAGAACTCCCTTCCCGTCCATATTGATGTAATTGTCACTCTCTGGGGCTCCGTATAATTTGTCCACAGGCACGCACAGAACTGCGACGCTTCAAGTCAACACCAGCTTTGGCGTTTGAGCGCGTGGTGGGAAATTAGCTGTGAAGTAATCTGTGAAACATAAGCCATATCAGGCTCCATACCGAATTTCAGAAAATTAGCCGTCTAGAAATAAGATTAGCCATTACCAGATCTGCAGGCACACCGCCACGTACCACTGACAAGCAATATGCTGCCATACTCAAGTAGATATCAGACTGAGTTTGTGATTTTCAAAAACCAATATGCAGTCTGAGAAGTGACTCTGAAGGTTAGAGAGAGATTTTTCTCTGAGTTGCTATAATTAAATGTGCAAGCCTCAAGAGTGAAGGCGTGTGTGGATGTCAAACGCAGGTTGCAAAGAGCCTTAGTGGTATTCATGTAACAAAATCTAAGTATTGTGTGCATGTCTAGTGCACATACACATCTGTGGCACGATGACTTAGTGGTTAAAGAGATTGTCTGTATTGAAAAAGTTAAATTGTGAAACTCATTTGTCTTAACCAATAATTTAGGCTCATTCAACCTTGAGCACTCGTTTAAATTAGTTCAGCATTTTAGGAAATATAAGGCTAAATATAGGCTAAGCTAGGCTAACCACATCTTCATTGTAGCTCTGTACTTCTGCCAGCGATGAAGTCATTTTACCACCATTTCTTCTGTAGTTCTTTTCACCAAGTGGGTGATATTGAACACAATCGTTTTTTCTGACTTTGTTGTTTTCAATTACATCTAAACAATAACATGAATACGGCATTAACGACAGGCGACAATCTTCTCTTCTCACTCTCAGAAAGAACTATTTCCTAAAAAGTTGAAAAAATGAAGTTGTAGTTTGAGAAGGGAGATAAAACTTCTTGATACAAGTCGGATGAGGAGTAAATAATGGAGCAGGTGATTAGCTAAGATTCTTTAGAAAGTACAGTCCCCTCAACAGCTAGTGTCCATTAAAGGATGTATGTATCCTTTTGAAGTATCCTTGAACAAAAAAGCCTGTTTCTACCTGCTCAGTCTTATGTAAATGTAAAAGGAGTGCAGAATGTTTTTACACAAAAACACACACCATACTGAGACAAAACAAAAGGATGTAAGGAGAAAAAATGTATTTTCTTTGTCCCTGATGCACTTTGTGAAAATTATATCCTTGCTGTTGAAGTTCCTTGGTGTCCTTCAGATCTTATGTCCTCTGTATTCGTCTTCCCCTCCTCTCTTTCTACCTCTGTTCATCTCTCTTCACCTACAGTGTCTTTCTCCTCTTTCTCCCTCTAACTTTCTCTCTCATCTCTTTATTTTTCCCCCTCTCTGTCTCTCTTTTTCACACTGATAGCCTGGCTGTAACTCAAACTAGTGTGTTATTGATGACTTGCTCTGTCTTTCTGACTTGTGCTGTTCTGGCTACAGTCCTGCTCTTGCTTCATACGATCCAAACCTTTCTCTCTCCCTCTCTCACGCACACACTCACACACTCTGTTGGCCTCATCCCAACCGGGAACGGAGGCCCTGTGCCGCCCCTCCTGTCTCCCTGCTGGCTGCTTGCTGTAATCAGTCATAGTAGAGCAGACACCCCATCCATCATGGAGGCTAAGCTCCCTTCATCACTCTGGCCCATAACCCACATCACTACATCTGACTTTGCACCGTCTCTTCGACTGTGAGACTAAAACTTTGGTTCCTACTGAAAAGGTCTTTTTAAAATGCAGTTACCTCGTGTTCGTCATCAACTGGTCACACATAGAAGTATCTTCCAGCTTTAGTCTAATCTAGGGTTTTTATTAGATAGAAAGTTGTAGCCAGTCAGTGTCATCAAGCAAGATTTGAGTTATTGTTGGGTTATTTTGTCTTTGTTTGACTGATATTGGACTAGACTAGGAGGCCAGTATGGAAGTCATGATTGCACTGGGCAGATCTTCTCAGCCTGAAAGAGTATTATAATACTGCGAGCATCTTGGTGGCAGCTATCAAAGGAGTTGGTAAAATGCTAATTAAAGGTCATACAGTGCTTTTCTATCTTCTCCCCCCTCATCAGAGGTTAATTTACACAAGACAATAAGATATTACCCTTAGGGTTGTCCCAATCAACTTTTTGGGCCCCTGTCCTGGCACTGAGTATATATATATTCAGACTGCAGGCCAAAGTGACCCAAATCTGATTTATTTGGCTCATATGTGACTCAGATGTGATTTTATTTTTTTTTATAAACAGCACAATTCACATGGAATCTAATCTTTTCCAGTTTTGATTTGGGCCACTTTCATATGTGGCCCAAGTCCGATACAGGCCGGATTTTGGACACACAGACTTTGACGTCACAGAAATCCAGGCGGATTTTGGACACACAGACTTTGACGTCACTCTAGAGCGACCGTCATCACAATTCTACTCTAGCGGAAGCCTCAAATATGGAATATAATCAAATTATAATGAATAATATGGCTCTTTGTCCTTGCCCATCATTTGCTTACAAATTATATATATATAACGTGAACAGTCATTAAAAAAAATAAAATAAAAAATCAGATCTGTGCAATAAAACGGAATTGAGCATTAACACCTGCAGTGTAAACGTAGTCTTAGTGACAGCTATTTTTTACTTGTGAAACCGACGGTCATTCTGTGTCACAGTGTGACTATAGGGGGCGCTGTTGCATCGATGTTACTTTGAACACGTTGTAATTAACCCTTTAGAGCCTACCATAGACCACTGTTCAGATATGCCATCGTTTCTTTGTTTTTCTTTGCTAATTGTAAAGTGAGATTTTATGGTATCTTCAAGTATCATCCCCTAAATCAGCACAAACTCTGCTATCCAGTGATGTCAATAAATAAGGTGTAACCTAATATTAGTTGTGTTAAGATCGTACAGACTCACTGGAGCAGCTCCAGTCTCTTTGCCCATCTGTGGCACAACACCTTCAGTTTTATTAGGCTATTACTCGTGACGTGTAACCGGTCAGATAGTGCTGTGGGCGAGACATTAAGCGAGACCACAGAGTGGTAACAACAGACAGACAAACAGCCTCATAAAGTCCGTTTATATAGCCTTTAAACAGAGGTCTGAATAACAGGCATTTTGTACCCTACAACTCTGAAATCAACCATGCCTTGTATGGTGAGTTGTGCTATGTTTCAAGGCATTTACAGTGCACACTGATGCAGAGAGACACCACACATGCCTTGTGTGTGCACTTTCTCCTTCCTTATACTGCCTTTTTAGGCTTCTTTGCCTGCGTGACCTCTGCTCCGTCCTGTGGCAGGCTGTGGCTGCTCTGAGGTTGACAGAGTTGGCGTTAGAGGGCTCTAGGTACCGCGACCTCTGCACACCTGACACTTGGGGGATGTGCATTAGTCTTGCTCAGTCCTGCTCTCACATAACAAACATCCAGAGGACCTGCTACAAACATTTATAAACTCAAACTGATCAACCTATCATTGCTGTATGTGTGCACACACACTAACTAGTGTATGTAGAAAACTACTTTTTTCTTCTTTGTATACATATTATCACCCAAAGTAAGTACATAATTTACTAATGCTTACACGCCTGTTCTGGATGCCCTCAATAAATTCGGCTTCATCATTAGTGCTCGACTCGTGAATGTCTTCTTTTCCTCTTTGGAGAATCACATCCAGAGCACATTCCCGTGTATAAAACATCTGTACCATGGAAGAGGCATCTGTTTTCCGTGTTTTCGCTTATCTTTTTTTTGCAGTTTTTGCAGTTTTTCTGAGCCATGCCTGGGTTGGACCCGATAATCATCCTCACAGTTTCTTGCTTGTTTTTTCCCCCCTCTGCTGATTTTAATGTAATTTGGGTATGATAATACACCTGTTTTGGGTAAAAAAAAAAAAAAAGACAAAATCCCTGCAATCATATGCAGCATTTTTGGAATACACTGAACAGTGGTGTTGGATTTTAAAATAATATATTCTGAGCTCTGTAAAATCAAAGCATTAAAAAAAACCTCATGTATGAATATTAATCATCATGAATTTGAGTTGCTTTGTTCTTCTTGGGGTGCAACTCATTTATTCATAGTTTAAAATTATTTCATTAAGCCTGTTTGACTGACATTAACATACATACAATGTGTGTGGGGTTTTTTCATCATGCTTGTCGGTTTTATACTTTTTTTTTTTCAAAAATGTTGGACTAACTTTTGACAAGTTGACAAAAAGTAAAAACTGCCTGCTGATTCTCAGCATGATCTTATGATGCCTCTGACCTACCTAGTCTTGCATTTCTTCAAAGTAAAATGGTAAACCAGGTCCACGGTAGGAGATGTCGCTGAAGTTGACACGTAACAGGCAGAGTCACATTAACAACATTTTCATCAGGTTGTCAACATTTTTGACAGCTTTATTTTAAGAAAACAAATATGAAGACCGTAAATATTGGTTTTAGTTTTAAAACATACCACAGTTCCAAATATATGGACATGAAAGTCAAGTCACACAGAGGTTAAAGAATAAGAAGGGAGCAGTTTGCTGCTTTTTGTATTTGTATGCTTTTTTGACTTTGATTTTTGTTTCTTTGCCTCTGCAGATAGCTGCTCTGCAGAAAGGAGGAGACAGCTTCCCACTCACAGCCGCCTCAGGCAAAGTGCTCGGAAAGGTGCGGCAAAAGACAGACACACAAAAACAACCGAAACAAATACTTTTAACAAAGGTTTTTGTTTTGTTTTGCTGCTGCTGACTTCGAAGAATACCCACCCTGCAAAATGTCAAACTCAACAAAATGTGCATGACGACCACAATCACAGAGCTTGTTGCTTGAGACATTTCTCTCTGTGTCCAGGCATTGCGAAGCTCCGACAAGAGCTCTAAACCGGTGTATGTATCCGTTGGCCACAAGATCAGCGTGGACACAGCTGTACGCCTCACACACTCCTGCTGTCGCTACAGAGTCCCAGAGCCCATCAGACAGGTGCACACACACACACACACACACACACACACTGTCAATCAACATGAGTTCACCAATTAGGACTGTACGGCAGAGCTTCCTGTAGAAAAGGCAGAGCAAGAAGAAAAAGATTTAGTGATCAGATTAAACAAAAGATCTGCTCAGCTGCGAGGCAGAGCTCTGCGTTGGAGAGCGAGCAGTGCTCATCACTTGTGTAACAGCGTCCTGCTGTGAAGTGGGGATGTGTGAGCACCATGCTGTGTGGCGCTGTTCAGCAGCAGGGCCTGGGAGTCTAAAACGGGGAACAATGTATGATGCCAAATTAGGGATGCTCTGATTTTTGGGAGGATTTTGGAACTTTTTTAAAGTTCCAGTAGCAAAGCAGAAAACATGCACACAGTTTCACTACAGCATGACCGTAAAGACATTTTGCAGACAAATCACTTGTTGTGCCTTGGAGCATGTTAACCATGCAGTAGCTGTTGCTATTATCAGGGTTCGTACAAAGTCTTGAAAGTTTGTAAAATGCGTAATTTTAAGCGTTAGGTTTTCAAGTTTAGGAAAAAGCTTGAATTTGAATATACTTATTGGAAAAGGCTTGAGTGGTGTTTCATCTACACAATCAATTCACAATTAATATTTGAAATGAAAAGTTCTTGTCATATTTGGCTGTTGTCTCCTGGCATCTCACACCAGACGGACTGAGTTACATTCACTGACATGGGCGCTAAATTGAAAAGGATGCGTTTTTCCATTCCCAGTGTCATGAGGGCGACCTCTGACCTTTTGACGTTGTGCGTGCATGCACACTGAGGGCAGCCAGCTAGCAATTGTACGTACTCATCAGTTAGAGAACAGATGGATTTTGTTAGTACTGTTTAGCAACATCATGCCAGGCTGTATATAAATAAATATAATATAAAAAATGGTTTCAGAGAGGAGCCACAGAAAAGATGGCGATTTTTGGCATTTTATCTTGCTAATTTAATGGTCTGTTTTTGAAACAAGAGCCGGTGCTCAGCGACAGACTGTCGTTCAGCGAGCTAACCCAGATAATGCTAGTCTGTGTGGCCTACCTCATTTTGGTAGCAAGATAGATCTATTCTTGTAAGATTTTCAACTTTACTTGAGGTTTCATTTGGGCGTCAACATTACTTACTTACCTAGTCCTCTTTGTTCTACTTAGCAAGTGAAAAGTTAAGCAGGTTATGTGACACTGAGCTTTCCCATAAAATTCTCAGGTCAGGAGCTGTTTTTCTTTAAAATAATGACACGCTAAAGAAGGCTGTCCATACACCAGTTGTTCCCCCCGGTGCTTTTAAAAACACATCAAGTCATGAGTACAGACTCATTTACTGCAATAATTAATTTAATGTTAAGTATGTTAGGTACGATTATACTTCACGTATGGAGCTTATTCTACTTACCTGTGTAACATAGTGGTCAGTTGTATGCCATATCCTTTATTTTTTCCCCAATATGTTCAAAGCAAGAAGCATTAAGACCTCTCAAAGCTCAGGTCATGTCCCGCCTTGGGGGCTTATTTCCACCTGACATCTGAAGCACTCCGCAGTGAAGCTGGTGAAACCACAGCTAACCCTCAGCAGGCAATAGTGCAAACACACTGAAATTACTTTGTTACCTCAAACCCAACATAGAGAAATGTGTTGGGCAACAAAAGTATTACTTCATTACTCCTGAATGATATTTCAAAGCAGTTCACATGCGTAGAGAAGAAATCAGAATACCTTGGACCATTTGGCATAGCACACCGTTTCTTGTCACTAATGCAGGAGAGGGTAAAGAAAAATCGGGATATGTGCTTTTTTTATGAAAGGTTGAACTGTGAAATTAGGAAGTGTCAGTTTGACATCCACTTAAGATACTGGCTTGACTGTTGTGTGGAAAAAAGGTACTTCCTTTTTCACGGGGCATCACACTGCAGACCAAATCCATGAGAAAAGTGAATCTGTGACTGTTGTTGGTTTCCACAGCCTCATACAGATCTCAATAGATGGCCCCAATGTCAATTAGAAGCTTTTCTCACTCCTGCAAAAAATAAAAATAAATAAATAACATACAAACTCAGACTGGCAAGAAAAATGGTGTAGCTTGGGAGCTGTTGTGTATTCTGTACAATTTCTTCAGAGCTGATTGTGCAGCCACTAGCTGGGAGGCAGCGAGCGCCCTCTCAAGCCTGAAGTGGCTACTCTACAGCGACTGGGTCATCAAGTTTCTGCCTGGATTTCTGTCATCACTGATGGCTGGAGAATGTGGAGGTGGTCGAGTGGTCTCTTCAGATACTGTCCTTCTTGAAGACCTACATAAGTGCTGCAAAACAAGGAAAAGTACCAGAGCCACACAATAAGTAATTTAAAGCTGATTATTGACGATCTCTTCCCAGCAAAAGGTAACTTTTTTGTCATGGTGGCAAAGTACACCTCCCCCTTCTTAAGAAGATACCAGAGTGATGAACCCGTGCTCCCATTTATAAAGGAAGATATTTCCTGTTTGATGAGAGGGTTACTGGAGAAGTTTTGACATTCTGCATGACAGAAGCCAGCTGTCATGCAGAATGCCTCCAGCACACTAAAGCTGCTACAGGTAGAATATAATGACGTGGAGAATGTTGATGTCACAAAGCTGAATGGATTCATTACAGCAAGAGTGCTTGAGGACACTCAAAGGCTGAGGCTGGAGTTCCGACAAAGCTGTCAATTGTTTTTGATGAAGACAGTCTCAAAGCTGTTTGAAAAGGCTATTATATATAAATTAGATATTTTATTGTTAACAGGATAATGAGTACATCAAGTGGCAGTTTTAATTAATAGATAGCATTTTGCATTGTCTTAAAAAAAAAAACGCTGGACAAAGTTGAGTCTCAAAAACATAACCAGTTTTTTGGGGGGAAGAAAAATAATATAACTTGACCTGAACTGATCCATTCTCCTGCCTCAGGCGATTCTTCTTTCTGCCGCTAGGCTGTGCTGCGCTTCTGCTGTTCAGTGTGCTTTTTCTTCCACTGCGCACACACACACACACACACACCTCCCTCAAAATCAGTTTTTCACCAGGGGAGCTGCAGTAGCAGTGGCTAACTCTTCCCCTCATATGTTTGTGTGTGTGTGTGTGTGTGTGTGTGTATTTCATCAAAGTGTGAGTGGGATGTGTTTTAGCTGGTGGGAGGAGGAGGCGGCTCCGGCAGCAGCAGGGACTGAATGTGGACATCAGAGAGAACCAGGGACACTCTCACCTTCCTCTGTCCATTTGCCTCTGTCTTTCTCTTTCTCTCCCTCACTTCCACATTTCCATTTTTTCTCTCCATCTCCCACTTTTGCCTCTGTGTTCTCTTCCTCTTCGTCGGTCTCTCTCAGATATTTTCTATTCTCTTTACTGCTGACATCACAGAAAGGGAAAAAAACCCTCACAGATACAGTTCTGGTGAGTGTCATGTTCGGAGTTGAACTCTGTGTTTGCATCGTTCTTTCATGGGCAGAGCAAGATTCGAGTCTCTCAGGCCTGTGAAACCTCAGGCGCAGATTGTGGAAGGAAAAAAAAATCAAAAAGCTGTCAATCTGAGAGGAAGGCTGTCTGTACTATGTAACAATTGTCTTTTTGAAGTTTAAAGATCGAAGAAGATGAGCTCCAGTATTCTGCCCCTCTGTCCAGACTCTCATTATGGCAGACTGAGGGCAAACAAGTGTACCAACAAAAGTAGTAGGCATGCTCAGCAGCTAAATGTTGCAAGGGTGTCTGTGGCAGACAGTGTGTTGTGGTGGTTTGTGTCTAGTTGTGGTTCACCACCGGAACACACATAGAGGAGCGGTGGGGTTTGTCAGGTAAGGGCACACAGTACATGTTTATGCATTCAGGAGAGAAACATTGTGGGTGCTTAATGGCATCAGCTGTGCGCCGGAGGAGCAGAGAATGTAGCAGATATGGCATTCATGTGGACAAACAGAGGTAGAAATAAACGGAGAGTAGAACTGCAAAAGCAATGAAAGGTTTTCACAGTGCTAAATATTAGTGCCAGGAGAAATACTGGTATGATATGTGACCAATTAAAGGAAAACCCAACATGGAGTACGAGCCTCCAGAACAGCTTCAGTGCTCCTCGTCATAGAGTCTAGAAGTGTCTTCTGGAGGTGTGGACATCATTCTTCCTAAAGATATTCCCTCATTTGGTGTTTTGATGATGGTGGGTGTTGAGATGTGGTGACTGTGAAGGCCACAGCGGCTTATTCACATAATTTTCATCAAACCATTCAGTGAGCCCTTGTGCCCTGAATGGAAATATCTGCATTTATTATGCGTCTCCAATCATTCAGTCTTCGAAATTGTCACTTCACTGTATGTGAAAGAAACTGACTCTTTCTGTGCATTCAATCTAAGCCAAGAAATACGCACAGCATATTATATTCATCACTTCCCAGGAAACTCAACAAACGTAACCTATTGGCCTCAGGTGAACATACCAACGATGGTCGTTCAGTCTTGGTCCACAGGTAGTCTTAACGACTGTAACGACTGTCGTCACAGCAACCAGGAACACTAACGAACCAGCGGTATCAATGACCCGGGCCAACGACCCCACTGAGGTTAAATAGCTGAGTTTCCCTGCCAGTCAGTCAGAACTGAAGAAGTCCTTTGGATGAGGGACGAAACGTCTTCCAGTATCTTCAACCAAGTCCAGTTGCCCTTGATTTTAACCTTCGTTGGATAATTATTAATATCAAAGCAAAGTGATGCTCTCTGTTATGTGTTCATGGGGCTGCAGGAACAGTTATTGTTATTCAATTTTTTCTAATTGATGAATCATTGTTTAGATCAAGGGGGCACTCCATAAAAGTGAGGTCAGTCACAGGGAGTAATACTGAACTTTGTCAAATAACCTCAGATTGGACTACAAATGTAAATGTAAAGGGATCTGCTGCTTTTTCACGGCAGCATCTGGGTGTTTACTTTCTAAAGTGCAATTTAAACCTTTATTTTTTCCCTTCTTCTCCATTGTTCTCCACACT